CCCATACACACGTATATTACAGAAATGACCACCAGTAAAAGATCAGATCTGATTGGATCCTGACACTTGCTGCTATTTGAATTGCTCAATAACCCTTTGAGGGGTCGCGTGCGTCCCCAGAAAACAGGTCAAGCCGCGGTTCCATCTCTCTATAAAGCTTCACAAGTCACATTCAGAGGACTTACCGGAACAAAACAAAGAAATACTTAATATCTGTAATCCTGTCTGAGGCTTTCCGGCCCCATCTGCTTCCCATCTCACGATGGACGGTCAAAGCTGCGTTTACAGACACGAAATGTATCAGTTATGTAACAACACCTGAAATGCGGCAACTTCGTATCACTTCGAAACAATGACCGCGGATTATACAGATCCAGAGCCCATGGCAATGGAGGGGGGGAAGACTGCACTTCCATGTGAGAGCCCGAGGGGGGCGCTGTGCCCATCATTAGTGGACACATGAGGGATTCTGGGGGGTCATGATACAAATATTTGAGTCCCAATTACTCACCATACAGATGCAGGCTCCTTAGACTCCCACAAGTCCCTGGACACTGGACACGTCCGAGGGAGATAAGTCCCTCTACTGTCCTACTGCAGCAGCTCAGAGACGCCACCCTCACCTTCCTCTCTCCCTCAAGTGGTGGCGCTTTTGGGGATCTCATGCAGCACCATGGCCAATGATGTCATAGTCGTGCACCTCTTACAAGGGTCGCCCCAACTTACAGGAGCCTTCTCCCAGTGTCTGGTCCCCCTGTAACGCTTCCATTGGCCTTCATGCTCCTTCCCTGTGCACTTGTTTCCTGCTCATCCCCCTCATTGGACTGGCGCCCTGACTATTGACCTTGGCTCTTTCTTTGGACTTCCTCCAGGCCCAACTCTTGCCTTGTGTTCTGGTTCTTCTTCATCTTCCATCCTGTTCTAATGGACTCCGGAGCAAATGTCCTGCCTACCCCCCTGTGACCAGTCACCTCTGCCAGCACGGCTCAGTCTCCATAGATTAGAACAAGGTGAACCTAGGGGTCCCAACCAAGGATCAGCACACTTCTAAATCCAAACCTCCATATAGGGGGCCCCTGGGCAGGGCAGCCATCAGGGGGGTACGGCCGATACTCATGTAAGGGGCCCGGGCAGCCTGGGGGCTCCGTCCGGATCCCTTACATGACTATCGGCCGACGTTGAAGGGCGAGGAGGCGGAGGCCTGGTCCTAGCAGTGCAGGGCCTCCGCATTGCCGCTCCAGCGGCTTCGAGACAAGCTAGGGCCCCATCAGCGACGCTGCTCGTCTGATGTCGGACCGGCCGGAAGTGACGTCACGTTAGTGACGTGATGTCACTTCTGGCCGGTCAGGAGGCAGATGAGGCCATATGTGCAGGTCAGAGGAGCTAGGATGGAAAAGCTAGTCAGATGACCAGCAAAACATCTTCAAGAAAAATACAGCAAGTCCAGTCGCCTCGATTTATTTCCTATAGCTGTACTATGACCTGGATGAATGAGAACCTTCACCGTCATTGGTTAGCAGTGACCCTAAACAGGGCGAGCTCTGCAAGGTGGGACTGCCGTACACATCACCCTATAGATGGCATGCGTGGTTCTTTATGTAAATCATGTGATATTTCTGTGATATTGACCACCCCCGGATGGGGCCGCCCCTTCCAACGCCCGGATCTGAGCACATCACACACATTGGGAGAAGCAGCACGTTTAAGGCTGTAGCAATGGAAGGGTTAATGGAAGCGTATGATGCGACGGAGGTCAGCGCGGCGACTCTCTCAAGCGCGACGGAGCGGCATCTCTGCTCCGCCATGCGCTGCTGACCTGTCTGGCGGCGGAAAACGTTAATGGCATGATTGCAGAGAAAGCCCGTCGCGGTGGAGGGGGGAGGAAGGGTTAATGACGGTATGCTCTGCCGGTGAGTAGGGTGTTTGCCGGTTCGCCCCCCGGTCCTCATCCGGTGCCGTCAGGGGAGGGGCTGACCGGGGAGGGCGTTTCTTCGGCCGGGGTGCTGGCGGGTGACGGTGCGGGGGTGGTCAGGCCTGGCGTCCGCTCGCTGTCCATGGACGGAGATGGGGTCTTGGACTCGGACTGTGCGTCCGGTGCCCTCAGGCGCTTCATCATGGTGGTCACTCGCACAGCTTTCTGCAAGAGAAGGGGGAGGAGCTTTACAATGTTACAAGTTACAGCGTGAAAAGTTACAATGTTGCAGTCTGATCACTGGGGGGGAGAGGAGACTGAGGAAATGCTTCCTCCTGCCTGTAGCAGATTGATGACTGGGGGAGGGGAGACTGAGGAAATGCTTCCTCCTGCCTGCAGTAGACTGATCACTGGGGGAGGGGAGACTGAGGAAATGCTTCCTCCTGCCTGCAGCAGCCTGATCACTGGGGGAGAGGAGACTGAGGGGCAGTTTACAGCAGAACGGCGTGCGTCTAAGCAGTTGCAATGTGATGCGGGTTGCCAAAAATTTGGCGCAATTTTACTGCGATTGATGCGTTTTCGTTTTTGTAAAAACTTAAAATGGGATTTCAGGCGCGTTCCAGTGCGTTTGCATGTGGTTTTGATGCGTTCCAGCGCAATCCAATGCAACTAAAATAGGACAAGCAGTATTTTTTCTGACTGCCTCGGAAAGGACTGCACTGGTGTGACTAAAGCACCAGAAATCCCATAGGAAAGCATTGTGATGTATTTTGGCTGCAGCTGCCAAACTGAACGGACTGCATCACAACGGCATCTGGTCTGAACTAGCCCTGAGGAAATGCTTCCTCCTGCCTGCAGCAGACTGATCACTGGGGGGAGGGGAGACTGAGGAAATGCTTCCTCCTGCCTGCAGTAGACTGATCACTGGGGGGAGGGGAGACTGAGGAAATGCTTCCTCCTGCCTGCAGTAGACTGATCACTGGGGGGAGGGGAGACTGAGGAAATGCTTCCTCCTGCCTGCAGTAGACTGATCACTGGGGGGAGGGGAGACTGAGGAAATGCTTCCTCCTGCCTGCAGTAGACTGATCACTGGGGGGAGGGGAGACTGAGGAAATGCTTCCTCCTGCCTGCAGTAGACTGATCACTGGGGGAGGGAAGATTAAGGGCTTGTTCACACCAAATGCAGACCAGATCTGCATGAGTTTCTGCACACGCGTTGTGTGTTATACCGCATTTTTTGCCGCGTTTTTGATGCGTTCCGGGCCAACTTTGATGCGTTTGCATGCGTTCCAGAGCGTCCTAGAGCCGGTAAAATAGGGCTTGCTGCAGTTTTTTTTACACGCTCTGGAACTGAACGCTGCGGTGTGAACTAGAGCCCAAAATACCATTGGAATACATTGGACGCAGTTTTGATCCGGTCTGTAACTGCTCCGCTCCTGGAACGCGATTGGTGTGAACGAGCCCTGAGGAAATGCTTCCTCCTGCCTGCACTGCACAGACAAAAAAAGCTGATAAAACAATAAGACACAACAGGGTTCCTGAATGACAATGACATCTCAGCCGGTTCTCCTTTAAGCACGTTGCTGTATTTTAATGTGTCGGTAATCTGTCATCGCAGCTCGTGAAATATTCATCAAACCGCCGCGGCGAATCTCTTCAATATTACAAAGAGCAGAAGCCGGATTTGACTTTTCCGCTCATGTGAAAAACATGAATCCAGACGCAGAAGAATAATGGGATAAAATCCCAATAAAACGGTGACAACGATGACACGGAGATGCTAATTCGAGCGGCGAACGCGCAGAACCCGTGCGGGGAGATGGCAGAGCGCCTCGGCTAATCACACGCGGGCGATGTCAATGTATGTGCGTAGTTACCGCTAAACTGATTACGGCGTCTCGCCTTCCGCTCTGCACATAAATCACGCCGGAATTAGCACCGCGGGCTCGGACGCGGGGACAGGTATGTATCTGGTTAACTGTTTGTGGTCCCTGACCGCGTGACGCTGGATTAGCGCTAATTCCTCATTACATCGGAGGTATGCGAGTGGTCCGGATGGCGCCAGCTGCTTCTATGGACAGCTGCAGGACTTCAACGCGATTGTAGGCCCGGGCGGATGTCAGCATCTCTCTGGAAATTGCAACTGTCTCCAGATTTCCTTCAATAACTTTGTCTCTAGTGGACCCGTCATTGGCCAGGGGGGAGGCAATAGATCTTGGGGAATTGTTAGGTCCTGATGATGAGGGGAGCTGGAGGTTGAGTGGTCTGGTGGACCCGTCATTGGCCAGGGGGGAGGCAATAGATCTTGGGGAATTGTTAGGTCCTGATGATGAGGGGAGCTGGAGGTTGAGTGGTCTGGTGGACCCGTCATTGGCCAGGGGGGAGGCAATAGATCTTGGGGAATTGTTAGGTCCTGATGATGAGGGGAGCTGGAGGTTGAGTGGTCTGGTGGACCCGTCATTGGCCAGGGGGGAGGCAATAGATCTTGGGGAATTGTTAGGTCCTGATGATGAGGGGAGCTGGAGGTTGAGTGGTCTGGTGGACCCGTCATTGGCCAGGGGGGAGGCAATAGATCTTGGGGAATTGTTAGGTCCTGATGATGAGGGGAGCTGGAGGTTGAGTGGTCTGGTGGACCCGTCATTGGCCAGGGGGGAGGCAATAGATCTTGGGGAATTGTTAGGTCCTGATGATGAGGGGAGCTGGAGGTTGAGTGGTCTGGTGGACCCGTCATTGGCCAGGGGGGAGGCAATAGATCTTGGGGAATTGTTAGGTCCTGATGATGAGGGGAGCTGGAGGTTGAGTGGTCTGGTGGACCCGTCATTGGCCAGGGGGGAGGCAATAGATCTTGGGGAATTCGTAGGTCCTGAGGATGAGGGAAGCTGGAGGTCTAGTGGTCTGGTGGACCCGTTATTGGCCGGGGTGGCAATAGATCTTGGGGAATTCTTAGGTCCTGATGATGAGGGGAGCTGGAGGTTTAGTGGTCTGGTGGACCCGTCATTGGCCAGGGGGGAGGCAATAGATCTTGGGGACTTCTTAGGTCCTGAGGATGAGGGAAGCTGGAGGTTTAGTGGTCTGGTGGACCCGTCATTGGCCAGGGGGGAGGCAATAGATCTTGGGGACTTCTTAGGTCCTGAGGATGAGGGAAGCTGGAGGTTTAGTGGTCTGGTGGACCCGTCATTGGCCGGTGGTGGCAATAGATCTTGAGGACTTCTCAGGTCCTGATGATGAGGAGAACTGGAGCATAGGGGGGCATATTCTACAGGTTGGGGCTCAGCAGTCTTCCTACACCTTATGGAAGAGACATTCTTTGGAGGACAGTGAGGTGCACATTTTGGACAGACAGGACAACTGGTTCTCAAGGGCATGAAAAAGGGTCATCCACGTCAATCTGGGGTGGGGGCCTTCAACACTTTTTGTCTGTCACATATAACATCTCTACCACAATCTCACTGACCCCAATGAATTGAGGTACTATCCTTTCCTGGGCGGGCACAATCCCAATGACATCAACAAGGCATCAATTGAGGGACTATACTCCCCTGAGGGCCATGATCCCACTGACACCAATAATTTGATGGCTATTCTCCCCTGGGGACCACTATCCCCATAACACCAATAATTTGGGGGCTCCTCTGTCCTAGCAGCCACTATCCCATTGACACAATTTGGGGGCTATTCTGCTGCATTCCTATTACTGTTGGGTCACGGACATTTTTGGAAGAATTTCCTGGGCCCAGCAAGGTTGAGCACCCGGGGGCCAGAGGTCTACGCTGTGTTTTTCCTTTGTATGTTGGCAGTAGGTGATCTGCACCAGCGACTGTTGAATACATTTCACATGGAATGAGTACAATTGTTACCTTCCATTTGGCTTTAGCGAAGTTCTTCTCGATCTGCGCACATACTCCGTCCTTGATGTTTTTATCGGATGCCGCGTTCCCCGAAATCCTGCAACACATAAATGTCACTTGTGGGTGGAGCTAACACTTAGGCAATCATCATAGAAGACACAGCGATGTCACCAGATCCAGGAGAGTTGATTGGCTCAGTACATGGATGAGAATACATTGTGGGCTCATTACACAAAGCTAACACACCGCCGGGACGAGGACACTTAAAGGAGAACTATGAGGGTAACGTCTCAGTATACGGCGAGCTGTAGCTCCCTATATACTGAGCTTAGGGTGACAGGAGGACGCTAGTTTGTGTCCTCCCGTTACCCTAAGGAGAACTATGGGGAAAAGCCTTAACCCCATAGTTCTCCTTTAATTTGAAAAGTCCAATAAGATTTGAAAATTACAGTCACATGACTAAATTAGGGTCTCTATTGACAAATTTTGAGTCTGAGATGCTTCTGAGAGCTCTCGGAATGAATTGCCAGGTGCAGCGTCCACATAGACTTGTATGGGAATGCAAAACGCATTTGATGCGAACAAAAGTCCGTCCACACAACCTCAGAGAGTCTTATCCATGTGTGGAAGGTTTGGGGATTGAGCCTTGCACCTGTTATGTCCTGTACCGGATATTTACTGCACAATATAATACTGCTGTAACCAGGGGCGTAACTAGAAATCACAGGGCCCCATAGCAACATTTTGTACGGGGCCCCGTGATTGCTAGTTATGCCACTTGCAGAGCCCACCTGAGAGTGACCCTGCAGAGCCCACCATAGACTCTCTATGGCGGGCTCTGCAGGGTCTCAGATGGGCTGCACACCTCTTACCTGTCAGGGCTGTCCGCCTCCGTGGTCG